CAGCAAATCTCGGGCCGGCCTGTGGCTCACTCGGGAGAGTGTGGTGCTGATAACACCAAGGCCACGGGTTTGGATCCTATATAGGGATGGCTGGTTAGCTCACTGGGTGAGCATGGTACTGACAACACCAAGTAAAGGGTTAAGATCCCCTTACCGGTCATCTTTAAAAAAAAGAAAGAAATAGCAAACCTCATCCCTAGCATTCCCATGGAGACAATAAAAACCACATTGGATGCTTGGATTGGCATCTAACACTTCCGACCTGGTCCAGCTCTCCTCCCAGGGCTCTCTTGCTTTCCTCTAGGCCTGCAATACATACTTCCACCAAACTGATTGCAGAGTAACAATTTCCCCCATTCAATTTATTAAGCTGCTAAAAGACATAATGACCTACTTGGGAGTTCAGTGTCTTCACCGCAGAGCTCCTAGGCTGTGAACTTCTCATGGTAAGAGTGAGCTCAGCAGCATCTCCCCAGGTAGAGGCTGAGTACCCACCTGGCCTTTTGTCCTGTTCTTGTTCTTAATTTCCTGCCACCTATTGTCTCTCTGATAAGTGCTGAAAGAGGGGGAGGGTGGTATTTAATTGTTTTAAGATACCAACAAGCCAAGGGAGAGGTTATCTCCTCCCTAACCCCTGTATTTCTCTGACTCAGGGTTTTGTTACTTAGTTACTAATGAGCTGCAGAGGAAGGAGAGGTAAGCCCCACCTGTGGAAAACAGGGCAGACTTCATTGAGCAGGTGGAGGGGAAAGCCAAAGGAATAGCCCTGAGGCTTCAAATAGGGAACAGGAACTTGAGGTTGGCCAATGAGTGCAGGTGACGGCAAAGTCAAACAGCTCTTTCGAGGCATTCAAAGGTGAGAAAGGGGAGAGGAGGCATCCATTATCTATACAAACTCAACCACTGTTCTAGATTACACATTTTCTGCTGTCAAGGTCAATGTTGTTCAGATCCCATTCGGCCAGCTGCAGTAGACAGGTGTGCCTGAGGCGGATGGGGACCAGTACTTTTTCACAAGAAAAGTTCATCAAGGGAGGATTTCACTATATTTCGTTATCCAAGTTAAAGAGTACGCAGAGAGGCATCAACGAATCACCCAACTGCCTCCATAGGAAGTGGTTATTCAGATGCTCCAAGAGCAGTTCGTTTTTAAGAAAAAAACAAAAAACCATGCCTTGACCCATCAAGTCCACCTGAGGGGGGAGGCACTGAGAGTCAGTGGCTCATTTCTTGTATGGGTTAGAAAACGATGGCTATTTTTAAAAAATGATACATGAATTTGGCATCAATAGTTAGATAACATTTAAAAGATAACGTGGTACCAGGGAAAGGAATTTCAGGACAGAGTGGTTGTGTCCTGGATTTTCCCTGTCCCCCTCTCTTCCTGGAAACCACTTGGTTCATTGGTTTTAAACTAGAGATGGCAACAGGTGGAGTTGTAGCAACCATGTCCCAGAGGAGGCAGAGTTCCCCTGAGCTCAATTCCATGCTGCCCTCTAGTATTACTTATTTCCTCTCCGTCTTCCACTTCATGGTGAGAAGGGACACACCCGTCTTGTAGTGAGCTCCCACTCCAGCCCCTCTACTCTGCACACTTGAGTCTAAAGAGAAGCTGGCATCCAGATTGACTGGGACTTAAGGCAATCACCAGCTCAATTTCCATCTAGCCCGTGAGCTAGATGACAGGATTCAAGCCCCATCATGACCAACATCCCAGAAAGAGATGAATACAGTTTTCCATCCTTACCGTGGGTACCCCAACATGCAGTTTGGCCCAGGTAGAAACGAGCAGCTGACAGTACTTTCCCACGTCACTCATCCTTTTCTAGGGTGCACCCACCTGCTAAACAGCTTCTGAGCGTGTACTTTTCACTGGCAAATTGGAAACCGGTAATAGGATGGATAGACCAAGGCAGCTCAGCCCACAGAGAAAGCTAGGTGGTGTTTGCTTTCTGTTTTCCCATCCTCTACAACTACCCAGAACGGTGTGTGTATGTGTACTTGGAGGAGGGTTGGGAAGGGGAGGCTGCAGGATTGATTATGACTTATTAAACTATTGGAACAGAGGCTGAATCATCACAAAAAAAAATAGCTGCAACTTGATGTGACACACTCCCACTTCTTGCCTGTCCCCTTTGCTCCCTCGAGGTAGGAGGAGGGGCTGTGCCGGGTCAGACCAGCAGGTGCTGACTGACGCAGCTAAAGCAGGGAGACCGCCTGTATGTCCCCCAAGCCATGGGACGCTGGGAGAGTTGGAGCCAGTCGACTGCGCGAGCTTCTGTACTGGCTTCTGGAACTGAATCTTGGAACCCAGGTGCGGGCTAACACAGCGTGCGGGCATTGGCAATTGCGTGAAGTGCTGTCCTTCTGAGCGCTTTTCGCCCCTACCCTTACCCTGGCTCTGCGCCCTGCGCCCTGCGCCCAGGGCTGGCCCACGGCAAACACGGCTTTGCAAACTTGTCTGACTGAGAAAATCTCAGAGGTCCCGGAGCAAGTCCGGGTCACCCCAGTGCACACTCCAGCTGCCTGGGTGAAACGGAATCGATTCTGTGAAATCGGACGGAAAGCCGCGCGTGCTCTTGCCACGAGTCTTAGGGAGACCGGGATCGCTTAACCCTTCACGCCCCCGCATGCGCGTCCCCTCTTTCCCCGCGGGGTGCCTGCGAGCTCTGTCCGCCGCCCCCCGCAGAACTGTCCGCGCGTCTCACCCGCGTCCTCCTACAGGACCGGCGGGCGGAGCGAAGCTGCCGTGACGTAACCGGAGGGGGGGCGTGGGGAAAGGTGCCGAGGGGCCCGGGCCGGCTGGGCCAGTCCGAGCAGCGCAGCCGCCGGCGCACGAGCGCTCGCACGGCCACCCGCGTCCAGAGCCCCGGTCCGCGGCTCGGCGTCTGGGGTCTGCGGGCGCGGTGAGCAGGAGACGGCGCAAAGCGGGCAGAGGAGCCGGGAGCCCTGGACGCCGAGCGCCTGGCGCCAGTCAAGCTGCTGCGCGCACGGGCGCCCGGCTAGGTCGGGGACAGCCACTGGGTGCCGGCGACGGGAGCTAACGGACTGCCGCGGAAAAGCAAAGGTGAGGTGTGTGTGCGTGCCCGTGTGTGCGCGCGTGTGTGCGTGTAACAGAGACAGAGAGATGGAGGGAGCGAGAAACGCACTTGGGCACCTGTGTGCATTTGCGCGGATAATGGCGCGCCCATCTGTGGGCTCCATGTAGGTCCCAGTGCATGATTCTCCGCCCTTGTGCGTTTGGGGGGTGATGGTCGTGGGAATGAAGGACAGCGGGTGTCCCGGCGTGAGTGGGGGGCTGTGGGCAGTGTGTGCTGGAACGAACCTGTCCTCGCAGTCACATGACTGTGCGCGTGCTGTGTGCCATTCGGCCCGAGAGCCCAGGTGGTAGTTGAGACGGGGACAACTTCTCTCCCAGCCGTCTGCAAAAGGGACCCGGCTGGAGGAGAACGAAGCCGGCAGCGGGATGTGGCAGGCACCACCTGGGGCTCCGGCGGGCGCGCACCCCGAGATCCGATCCCGAGAGGGGCAGGCGGCGGGCGCGGGGCGGAGCGGAGGAAAGAGGGGCTTCTGTCCTGTTCTTCTTCGCCCGGTCGGGGAGACGGACCCCAAATGGTGTAGGGTCCGCCCCGCCGCCCTGGTGCAGAGAGGATAGTTTTTCTAGGTTTGGAGAGACCAAACCGCTGAGTTGCCCGCGTTCCGGAGCCGCAGGGCAAGTGCCCAAGTGACTGTCCTCCTCTCACAGCTGTCCCTGGCGCCTCAGCCGCTCTCTGCGTTTAGAGACTGGTCTGGCACTACAGTCTTCACTGTCTCCCACCCCCCACCCCCAGACTTCCTGAAAATGGTAAGGAATCCTTTAGGAAACCCTTGCTCTGAGGGTCAGCGAGTTGGATGGCCAGGGAGATTTTCTGTGCCAGCCGCGGACACAGGGTCAGCGGTCCTGAGACTCTCCTCCCTGCCGTCCCCTTTGGCCGGCGCCACTAGGTCTTTTCCCAGGCGCTCTAGCGCCGCGGTGGCCCGCAGGTGGCTGTCGTCTCCCTGCGAGTGGGGGCGAGCTGTGTTTAGCTGGCCCGGGGAAGGCGGGGGTGGGGACGACGGGAAGAAAGATGCTGGGGAGACGGAGAAACTGAAGCCGAGTAAGACTTAGGACCATCCCTGTGCCTGGTTCCCATCTCAACACTCATTTCTTGGACTGGAAACCTCAGCCCCTTGGGGAAGAGGAGAGGATGCGTGAGATCGTTTCTCACTCTCTTCTTCAACAGAGCCTGGACTTGGTCTCAGAGGAAAACCACCACCAGCCATTTCCAGTATCTAACAATTCTCAGGCTGGAAAAATAAAGCGGAAAATCAAACTTCCTTGCACATTTAATGTAACCGCCATTCAACGAGCATTGACTGCCTGGTATTGGAATCCACTTCCTGTGGGACAGAGATGAAGCAGACGTCCCTCGGAGACCTTAGGCGGCTGGCTTCTTTGTTACATAAGACTCCCCATGACTCCAGCTCACTTCTTTCTTGGAGGAGCCTTTCCACTCTCGACCCACTGCCCAGCCTACCATCTCTGCCACCCTCACCAAGGCTGTGAACCCTGTCGGTTGCTGCCTCTTGAAAAGTGGAAATAGGCTGCTTCTCAGCCTATTTCAGAAAAAAACTGGCCCCCATGCAATTCCATCCCGTTGAGTGAAACTCCAGCCAAAAGGGCAGCGTTGGTGCTGGAGAACTCACTCCGCCCTCCCTCATGGCCCTGCACCACTATCATCTCCACCTCTAAGGTTCTAGGCAGGGCTTCTGCAGCCCAGGGGTCTTCTATCTTACTCAGACATTGGAGTGTGACCATGCACGTTACATAGATGGGCCCCTGGAAATGCCAGTGACTAATGTACACTACAATTGCAGGTAGCTGAAACAGGATTCTAGGTCAGTAGAATTAAAGTGACTGACAAGATGGTTAAAAACGATAGTGGAAACAATCCAGGTTAATCCAGGGATACTAAAAATGGTTTCTTTACAGCTTCTGTTTTTAATAGCTGCCAGTTTATGCTTTTTTACCCAATGCAGACATGAAATCCTGGGTCCCCAAAAACCTCTGCAAAACGGTGAGCTACAAAGCCCAGACCTCACTTTACAGACAGTTGTATGGTGGGGAAATTAATGCAGAAAGGATGAGCAATGCACTTGGCAGTACAGAATGAATTGGAGGCAAAGGTGAGCCAGGTCCTCGGTGCCTGTTGCTGGCTAAGTCTCCTTTAAGTCATCTGCAGTCTCTCTCCGATCTGCACTCAGGCACCAGGAAAAATACTCAGGGGAAATGTGTCAGCCAGGTAAATTCTTCCCACTATGTGTTGAACACACCACTCCTTTGCCATCTCCCCTCTTCCTGGATTGAGCTCTTTCCCTGTCTTCCTTGATTCACTCTTCATATACCTAAGACCCATATACAAAAGTCCCCTTATGAAGCCTCCTCTAAATCCCCCAGGAAAGGAAGGCATTCTTAAGTCCTTTGTTCATGTCTATGTAATTTGCACCCTATATGGTTTGACTTCCTTGCCTTTCTCCCTCACTAAACCATTACCTCCTAAATGGCACCAGCCACGTCTTATTCATTTCTGTATCCCTGTTGTCCAGTACAAAGTAGCCCCCAGTAATGTTTTTTTGAGTGACTGTAAATAAATTATTGAATTATGTGATGAGCTGTTGTTTTATATTTTAAGCCAAGCCAATAGTGTTACAATTATTTTCTCAGCATGGAAGTAACACAGGAATCAGTTGCTACAAACCAAAACCCAATTATCAGCTGCTAGTATTCCAGTCCACTGAGTAGCCGTTTTATATTTTAAGCCAAGCCAATAGTGTTACAATTATTTTCTCAGCATGGAAGTAACACAGCAATCAGTTGCTACAAACCAAAACCCAATTATCAGCTGCTAGTATTCCAGTCCACTGAGTAGCAGAAAGTGATGTGAAAATGCAGAAGACTTAGGCTCAGGTGTCCTGCGTTCAAATCCCAGTTCCACCAATTAGGTACAAGGAAATGGGAGCAAGTGCTTTCAGTGCTCTAAAGCTCAGTTTCCACATCTTGAAAATAGGGATAATTGTCCCCACCTCATAGGATGGTTGGGAAGATCAAGGGGACAGTGGGTGTGAATGAACTACAGTATTAGGAACTGCCTGTTCACTTCTATGAATTAGCTTGCTCCCCTCACCTGGTTCCTGTTTCTGTCCTTAATCAGGGAGTAGCAGGCAAACTCTCTGGGATGTTAGAAGCATTCTGGAGCAGCATCCCGTTCAGGGACTTTAGGAAAGGGCTCTCCTTGGCCTAAGGAGGCCAAGCACTGGGTATCAGAGAAACAAAAACAGAAAAAACAAAAAATAAACTCAAGCATACAATTTTAAAATGAAAGCAAGACAGACTTTTATTTTTAATATTGAAGACTATAAATTGGTTCACTACGTAGGCAGATTTCAATAAATAAGAGATAATGACATGGTAGAGGGAAAAGGCAGGGGCAACATTTATGAATTTCTGACTGTGATCTCAATGTATTACTAGGCGTTTTCACATACATTCCATCATTAACCTTCACAACACTCCCATTTTAACAATTGAGCGTTAGAGCAGTTAAGGGCCAGGCATGAGATCACATGGGCTCAGCAGTGGATCTCTGGGTTTGTTCTACCTCTAAAGTCTGGGGATTTTCCACTATGGGGCTTCCAGAATGGAAAGACTCCAAAGCAGTCGGCAAGTCAGCATAGATTTCCTCACAGGGAAAAGGCCAAGAATGCCAACGTCAGCCCCCTTTGAGGTCAGAGGCTGAACTTCTCCAAGCTCTGTCTTTTTACAGTTTGGACTGGTCGACCTCTCGGGGGTCAAAGTACGTATTTTTGAAACCATAGCCGTGACCCATGTATGTATCATGAAAGATCATGGCTTAACCCAAACCCTTACCCACTATTGGAAAAACAACTGAAAAATCTGCACACTGATGAGGATGGGCTGGTAGCTCTAATGTTCGTGTGGAAAGATAACACATTTTTCAGCTAAAGAGTATGTCTGAGAAGGGTAAACTGGAAGTGTGCAAAGCTGGTGAGAGCTTAAGTAGCCTATGACTGATGGGCCAATCTTCCTTTTTCCTTCCAGATGTCACAGTGGATCCTTGGCCTCCAGGGCCCGTTAAGGTGAGAATAAGATCTAGGGCTGGTTGGAACTAGCCTAAGACTGAAAAGCAGTCACAGATATGGCATATGAGCTATTCAATGGGAGCCAGGCATGGCCGTCTTCTCCATTTGACCTCAATGGCTCAGTGGTGGCAGCCAACAGCTCAAACCAGACAGAGCCATACTATGACCTGACAAGCAATGCAGTCCTCACATTCATCTATTTTGTGGTCTGCATCATTGGGTTGTGTGGCAACACACTTGTCATTTATGTCATCCTCCGCTATGCCAAGATGAAGACCATCACCAACATTTACATCCTCAACCTGGCCATCGCAGATGAGCTCTTCATGCTTGGTCTGCCCTTCTTGGCCATGCAGGTGGCTCTGGTCCACTGGCCCTTTGGCAAGGCCATTTGCCGGGTGGTCATGACTGTGGATGGCATCAATCAGTTCACGAGCATTTTCTGCTTGACAGTCATGAGCATCGACCGATACTTGGCTGTGGTCCACCCCATCAAGTCAGCCAAGTGGAGGAGACCCCGGACGGCCAAGATGATCAATGTGGCTGTGTGGGGAGTCTCTCTGCTGGTCATCCTGCCAATCATGATCTATGCTGGGCTTCGGAGCAACCAGTCAGGGAGAAGCAGCTGCACCATAAACTGGCCAGGTGAATCTGGGGCATGGTACACGGGGTTCATTATCTACACCTTCATCCTGGGGTTCCTGGTACCCCTCACCATCATTTGTCTTTGCTACCTGTTCATTATCATCAAGGTGAAGTCCTCTGGAATCCGAGTGGGTTCCTCCAAGAGGAAAAGGTCTGAGAAGAAGGTCACCCGAATGGTGTCCATAGTGGTGGCTGTCTTCATTTTCTGCTGGCTCCCTTTCTACATATTCAATGTTTCTTCCGTCTCTGTGGTCATTAATCCCACCCCAGCCCTTAAAGGCATGTTTGACTTTGTGGTGGTCCTTACCTATGCTAACAGCTGTGCCAACCCCATCCTATATGCCTTCTTATCTGACAACTTCAAGAAGAGCTTCCAGAATGTCCTCTGCTTGGTCAAGGTGAGCGGCACAGATGATGGGGAAAGGAGTGACAGCAAGCAGGACAAAGCCCGGCTGAATGAGACCACGGAGACCCAAAGGACCCTCCTCAATGGAGACCTGCAAACCAGTATCTGAACTGCCTGGGCAGGGGGGAAAAACCAACCAGAAGCCAAGCTCTGCCTACTGGCAGTGGGCTCCCTACCTGCAACCCCTTCCTTCCTCCCACCCATCACACCTGGCATCTAGGATAGGGATTGCTCAGCATGATATCAATTCAGAGAACCGTGTTTGAGTTGCTTGTCTGACTGAATGATAATGTATTAAATTGATTACCTTCCCCTTAAAGTGAACATTTAACTGCAGACAGACAATAGACAATTCAAAATCTGGAGAAGAGAAGATCATGCCTGGGGGTATGATCTTTAGAAATGCTGAAATTCAACAAAAATAGAAGAAAGTATCGGTGTGTTTGTGTGTTTAAAACCCAATGTATTATCCTGTGATCTTATATTTATACTTGTAAATTCCTATCTAGCCTGTGTAGAGTCATTACCTACATTTCATACACAAGTAGCAAATTCAAGTGTGCATAGTACAGGTGGACGTTTACTGCAATATAGTACCCACAGAAATAGACTTACCATGAAGCCAATAAAGTGTAAGCTTCAGGGATCTCTCTTATATGGGCCTCTCCAAGGGCCAGGAGGAACCTGGGCAGTATGTTCACAGTCATATGTTTTTGTAAAAATAAGATATTTTTGTATTTTTTTTTTCTTAAAGAGGGCACCCTAAATTGCATAAGCTTCCAGCCTCACAAAACCCGCCTCTACCCCTGGGTATTTGCTTGGTTAATTTCAGGCAAGTTAGGTCAAAGTAAGAAGGAAGAGGGAGAAGATATTTGAAGACCCAGAACATAAATTCATGTGTTTCCTTTTCTCAGACATAACAAAAGAATTATGCATTTACCCAAAAGGACTTAAATGGTTTTGGTCATTGATCATTGTATTTATTCAAAGCCTGCTTTGTTATAAGATTGCATTTTTTCCCTCTCAAATTGCTTTACGTTTTTCTTAGGGAGCCATGGGGGAGGGGAGGGAAATCACTAACATGAAAAGCAGAAAATGGACTATGATTCTTGTGGGGAAACAATTTTATTCTCTCCACCGGGAAAATAAATGAATAAGAGTGAAGCAAAATTACACCTTTATGGGAAACCATGAAATTGTTTTTTTTTTAAATGCCAGACATAGCTTCCTAATGAAAGAAAATGGAAATGTAACTCAGCAACTCCTCAAAGGGCTTTTTGAAGGACTTTATACAAAGCTGGGCGCTAAGAAAATCACAATGCATGCTAAAGACCAGATGACATTGTTCATGAAACATAAGCACACACACCAACCAATAAATGTGTAGCGTGTATGGGGTGTGCGGGTGTGCGTGTTGGGGGAAGCCCCATCCCGCACAGAGAATGCCTTCCTCACCAACTGTATACACACTGGGTATACACATTGTGTCATATCTGTAATGCCACCGACTCTCTGAGCTACTCCTTAAGAACTGTCGAAGACAAGCACTTCACACCATCAGCAGCACTTTTTTTTTTGTCCCCAAAACTATAGATGGGCTCATTTACAAGCGATAAGAAAAGAGACAATGCCTGTTTCATTGACTGTTCACAGTTTCCAGAGTATAAAGAAATATGCACTTGGGTGTTTGCAAGGATGCCATCATCTCTGGGTTTTATATGAAAGCATCACTCTTAAGTGTCTCACATATAGATTTTACCATACTTAAAAATGAGCTTTCCTCTTCTGCTTCCTTAAGCAAGGGCTGTTTGACTATCAGAATGACTAAGTGCTCCACCTGTGGCTGGCGTTGTTCACGTGCTGCCTTTATTCTATATAATTCATACCACCTATTCCCAAAAGTATAAGTCTGTGGCTTAGAAAACTATGTTCAGTAAGATTCATGATAGATAAACAAGTCCATGCAAAACTAAAACAAGGCAATAGGAAAGTTGCTGCCAAAAAATGTGCACGGTAAAATCCCACATCACTATTAAAGGCAAGGTCATTTATAAGTTCAGCTCAGGGCTTCCAGCAGCCACACCTAATGGAGACTGACTTCTTTCTTCTTTTTTTAATAAAAACCAAGCTAAGATGTGGAAGGAAATGCTTTAAACCCAACTTTACCATTATTATAAGATGGTCCAGAGTCTTTGAATAAATGCTCAGTTTTCCTTAGGGAAATGATTCCAAGGGGCTAAGAATTGGCAGAAATAATTTCAAGGTAGATAAGACCAGTTCTAAAGTACTCATGCCCCTGCAACCACCATAAACTGCCTCCAAGAAGGCCAGGGGTTCAAAACAACCATCTATAACCTTGAAATGAAATGCATACTCAGGTATATGGTGCATACTGATCAGCCAGATGATTGATGCTGTAATTCCACCCAAATAAGCAGTCAGGTTTCCACCATATGGAAAGGTATTCCTAACTTTTTGAAATATCTGTTGCAAGGATGACTCACTCCCTGGTGGTTTTCTTTTATCCAAAAGAGTGAATAAACATTTTAGTTTAAATATTAATGCAGTTTTAATTCAAAAATTTAATCTTAACCTCAACTCAGCATTTAATGATGAAGATAAATCTGCTGGATGCTAGGTGGGAATAAAGAGTAACGCTCCCCACTGATTTTAGTGTATCTGATCACATGGGTTATGTAAGCTACTACTTACCTTGCATTAGCATGGGTAGTTAGCACTGATTAAACCTTGGTGGACTTAGTGAGAAAGGTATTAGGAAAGATAATGTAATATTGTGGCCTGTGTGAAATGATGTTAGCTTGTGTTTCAGTAACACAGAGAGTTGGGCAATACTGGACACGGAGTTGAAACTTTGGTGGGGTTCATGCCATAGTTTGGAACAATCTATTTCACATCTTTGTTTGTTTGTTTTGTTGGCTGGCTGGTTATGGGATCTGAACCCGTGACCTTGGTGTTGCCAGGCTGCACTCCAACCAATTGAGCTAACTGGCCAAGCTTGGAACAATCTAGAAGACACAAAGAGAAGGACAGTAGATAGTGAAATGGCATGCAGAGAAGATAATGTGAGCTGGTGGGTGGGGCTGGAGAGCTGGCAGTGAACTGGAGTCTATTTGCTTACACAAATTTAACCTCTTCTCCATGACAGAATACAAGTGGTGCTTACCAAAGGTTTTAGCCCCAGCTGCCCTAGATAGGAGCGCTGTGCTACAGTGTCCAGTCTGATTATTTATATAGGAAGGAGGAGGCTGGCCAGTTAGACTCAGTTGGTTAGAGCATGGTGCTGATAACACCAAGGTCCAGGGTTCGATCCCTGTACCAACCAGCCACCAAAAAAAAGAAAAGAGTAAAGGGCTGTGGAAATATGTGTTCCTAATCAGCTTCAAATGTGACTATTCAATGAAGACAGTCAAATTACAATGGAAAGCAGATATGAACTTGGGCCTTGCTGAGGAAAGGTGGCAAAAGAATCATCCAAAGTTTCCATAACACTGGCCAATTGGCTTGGTTGGTTAGAGCACAGCCTTGTAACATCAAGGTCAAGGGTTCGGATCCCCATCCCAGCTAGCCACCAAAAAAAGGAAAAGAAAAGTTATCATAGCTTAGGAAGTTTTGATTCATATTTCCTAAATGTATATCTTCATAAGAATCAAAATAGCCAGGAAGGCAAGCAGTGGAGCTTGTAAGTAATGACTTGTAATCAATCACTTGCCTCATCCACATTTTTGCCAGATTCAAAAATACTGCATTTCCCATCAAACGTTTTATGAGAACAAACCTGTACCTAAGTGCTTGTTTTGCTTCTAATATGTGAATTTCTGGAAACATTCCCATAGGTGGAGTCTCTAATTTTTTTCTAGCACCTCATCTAGAAGGTAGGCACCAGGGACTGTGTTCTACTTACAGCTGAAAAGCTTTTGTAGCAGCTGTTACCTGATTAGGCAGACCATTAGGGTTGACAATAATGTTTCAATAATATTTCACACCTCCCACCCCGCTGTCACTTTCCAGGACTACCCAGCCCCTCCCTGAACTCAGCAGAGACTGAACACTGGTGGATAATCTAGTTTTCTCCTTTAGATGTCTCAGGCTGCATGTATCTGGACTATGCTTCAAAACAGAGCTAAATATTAACCAAGACTTAACCAAGCTGACTGAAGCATTATTGATTCTCCTTAGATTAAAGGTGAGTATAACATCATTAAAAGGAAAGGCTGTGGCTTGATCACCCAGCTCAGTGAACATCTACCTCCTGTTGGACAAAGATTTTAAGCGTGAGAAAATCAATGACACAGAGACTCCAACTCTGGTGGGTGGAGAGGGGGGTTTTAAAGTGAAGGGGGAGGAGTTATGTTTCATTTCTCTCTTTCCTGGCATTCATGAGGGGATGAACCAAGTGGGGGAAAGGACCTCTTTGCCTGGATATTGGTGTCTGGTGGGGAAAGAGGGCTCACTTCTGTTCCTGATCCTTCTAGGACCACAAGCGAAAAAGGAATGTACTAGTTAAAGATAAAATAGCCTACCCTTTTAGAAAAACCTGTTAAGAAAAGACATCTGAAGTGGCATCCCACAGCCTTGTCCACTCCAATTATTCATTGGCAGGGGCCTCCAGTTGCTTAAGACATAGAGTAGGTCCCTTTGCAGCAGAAGTCACAGAAGTGATGGGCCAGCCCGTGGCTCACTTGGGAGAGTGTGATGCTGATAACACCAAGTCAAGGGTTAAGATCCCCTTACCAGTCATCTTTATAAAAAAAAAAAAAGAAGTCACAGAAGTGATGGGCCAGCCCGTGGCTCACTTGGGAGAGTGTGATGCTGATAACACCAAGTCAAGGGTTAAGATCCCCTTACCAGTCATCTTTATAAAAAAAAAAAAAGAAGTCACAGAAGTGAGAGATGGACGCCCAGGGTGACCCTAGCCCTAGGGGCTGCTGGAGTCTACCAAATAAGACTGTCACAGAGGGAGACACAGTTAACCCAGGCCCTTACGAAGAATAGATTATCAAGTTAGGGCCACAGTGGTCCCAAAGGAAAATTGCCATTCCTGGGCAGCACTTCCTCCACCTCCCAGGGGCTGGAATATTAGTTCCCGGGAGGGTTCTTGTCCCCAGATAATGGAATATGTTCATTGCTGTGTGAGCTAATATTTTTCTCATGGGTATGGATTTTTTTTTAACAAGAAACCCAAACAGTCCTCGTATAACATAACCAAGGCTTAGTTGTTTTCTTAACATTAACCAGCATTCCACTTCTCAGGAGAAATGGCTGGTGCCATAAGGTTCTCACGTTCTCAACTCATACCAGTCGTGCTAATAGGCACACACACGCACACACATGTGATGCACGTGCACACAGATGCTGCCATGCAGCACATGTATGAGGCATATGATGTGCACACATGTGAAGGGCACGTGTGTACGTGACATGCATGCACACACATACACGGGAGGTATGTGTGTGACACACACGCACATAAACAAATACACATTCTATGTCGCGTAGGTGAAACTTCCAAAGCAGAGATTCCCCAATGGCTTTCAACAGAGGACGATAACTATAATTTTACTAACTCTTGAAGTCTAGGGATATTCAGTCATTTTTTTCTACACTGATGCCACAATAGGGAGGGGGACATCGTGCATAAGCTACGATTTTACCCAGAGGACTCCGTGCTAGATCACAGACTGCATGCCTATTCCCAGCCAGCTATCCCCACTATAACAGGCCACCTCAATTAAAAAAAAAAAAAAGAGTAGGCAAAAGGGTATAAATGGTTTTCTGTAAATCATCCCCACTGGTCAAACAACTTAAAGCACATGTATTGCTAACAGCAGTATTTTTGCATAAGAAAAATGATACAATTTCTTTGCAGAAAAATCACTTCTAAATTGATTCTCATCAAGGACAGCATCTTTTTTTTTTTTTCTCAGATTAAAAAGAGGTTTATTTAGATGTTAGAATCATCTAGTGATTGAACAAGACTGGACATTAAACGCTCCAGGCTTCAGGGCTG